CCATAGAGCTCTGTACCTCCAGTTCCTTTAAGACTTTCCTAAAATGGGCCATAATATTGTCATTGTACAGGTTGCCAATATGGCTTGCAGTAGCTGTGTCAGGGTGATTTTCATCCATAGAGGTTTGCAGTTCAACCCACTTTGCACACATTTCCTTAATCTCTTTTTCAAATTCCATACTAATTCTCGCCCTTTTTACCACAGGGATGGCACTAGAAGCTTTCTTAGGATCCATGGTGACTTATTTTGTAGTTACAAGCACTAAAATATAGGTAGTAGGTTGGTAGACAGCAACCGCCCAGGGAGGTACTACCGTCCTGCCAAGTGAGTGTACAACAAAAGCCTGTAATTGTTTTACATGATGGTAGGATTGCTGGTGTCCATTTTTCTGTCTCATAAACATGCAAGATTTCAGGTATGTCTTGCTACTTCTACTTACACTTAGGTCACACTACACATACATGTACAAGCATATATATACACACCCCTCTGGGTTTTCTAATATTTTCTTACTAGTTCTTGTTCTTGTTTATTTTCTCTTACCTCCATGGGGAAGTGGAACAGAATTCTTCCTCCGTAAGCCATGCGTGTTGTAGGAGGCAACTAAAATGCCGGGAGCAAGGGGCTAGTAACCTCTTCTCCTGTATATATTACTAAATGTAAAAGGAGAAACTTCGTTTTTCCTTTTGGGCCACCCCGCCTCGGTGGGATACGGCCGATGTGTTGAAAGAAAGAAGAAGACAAGCACTAAAAACACTGGGATACTGTGAAATGTACCAAATGTATGAGTAGATGCGACCGCACTGGCTGGCTTGTAAACACTGGCGCTGAGGCCACACGTGGGACGCGTCCCAGATGAATCACATAAGGCGAGTTTTTTATCGTGAGGCGAGGCAAAATTTTTGTGTTCAAATGCTTCATATGGCGGATTTAATGTAACGCGATGTGTTCGTAAGGAGGGGGGGCCACTGTAATTGTATAATGTCAACCCATTCGTGACTGTGTATTGGAATTTGGACTGGCAGACAGACACCTATTGGACGGTGATGTCATTTGTTTACTCTTGAACATCACCAAAGAATCGAACATTTTGGCTATTTTGAGCTCAATTTCAAGGTACTTTTCATCGTGAAAGCAATCAAAATCATACCTATTTCTGTAGTATATCTTCCATTCTATCAAATGAGACAAAAGAATGAGAATACAACCATAAAAACCACGTGAAAATATACCGCTAAGGGGCAGCTAATGACTGAGAAGTGAACTCCGTTGTTTATTATCCGATTTCTTTCATTTTTAGTGTACATTAAGAAGCATCTTTCCATCATACACTCCCCAAGTTTCAATAAGATAGCCCCACAAACAACTGAGAGAAAAATAAATTATTTACCAAAACTCATATATGGCAAGCCCAAGCCAGGTACTCGAAATAAGTCACTTTGTCTGACTTTTTTGGGTTATCCTGGGTTCTCTACACATATACTGCTATGTATGATAATCTATGTGGAGAAAATAGCTTTTTTGTTTCAGTTTTATGGTGCAATACGAGTGTATATCACAGTTAGCCCTGTGCTATACTCCGTTTTCTCTAATATAAGCCCCCAAGAGAGGGATAGGAGAATGGTACGTGTAACCCATATCCTCTTCATACCTCCGTCGAACCGCTCAGTATTATGCCAGATATTATTCATTCTGGAGTATTTAACATGTTTTTATGTTATTTATATTGTTCATTTTGTCATATTAGATCAATTGTGATACGCAAATTAGCCGTAGTGTTGATATTAGCGTAATAATAAAGCATATTCCCCTGCATCACAAGACTGAGCTCATGGCAATTGACATTGGCTTTAAAGCCACCTTATCTTTTATGGAAAATGTGCTGTGCATGTGCTTTACACAATGAAAAGCATTTCTTTTATTCATTGGAACCATGGCTAGGGCTAAAAGTAAGCAGGTTATAACAATAAATGGAGAGAAAGAAATTGTAGTGACTTATGCAGCAAGTAGTGCCTCCAAACAGTACCAGCAGGTTGGTGTGGTGACCCTGGAAATTTGAAATTATGCTAGCCGCAATTAGTGCCGTATAACTGATGGAACCTGATGTCTGACTGCCGGATTTGTGATGGCAGACCTGTAGTGGGTTTGTGTCAACCATCTGTCATATTGTTCTAATGTCACCTTTGCACTATTTATAACATTTCTGGTATATTTTTAAATGTTTATACAGTACTGTACTATACAGTGTAATACACAGAATAGAGGAAATCAGCTCTAACATACATTATTTAGGTATGCATACTGGTCAAAGAGCCCATCGTAAGTCTGACTCGTTGGTAAACAAGTACGTCACTAAGTAAAGAGAGGCTGTAACAGCTTAAGATACTAGGACTGCTATCTCCTTTCAAATATGTTTACAATCAGGTTAAAAGTAGATCACAATGCCACATTTTATTAAATCCTTAAACTGCCAATGAGGGTAAGATGAAATTGGTGAAAAACTGATCACTCACTGGCAACAGTGCAGTAAACGTGTCAGCGATATTTACATTTTACAATTTACTTGTACCAATATGACTTTTTTCTGTTTTAATTGCTTTTAATGTTTAACCCTATGTACAATAATTTTTTTATGATATCAGATATGTTTGAAGATGTTTTAGCATTTCAAACAAGGGAAAATGATTAGCTCGATATGCTCTACTTGAAATATGCAGTATGCACAAGGAATACTTTTAATATTACGATTGTTTCAGAGTGTAATACTTCTCAAAACATGGAAAAATAACATAGTTTGACTTTATTGAGTTTTTTTTTAACACTCCAGCTGCCTCCACCAAGGCAGAGTGACCCAAATAAGAAACACATTCACCATCATTCACAAAATCACTGTCTTTGCAGAGGAGCCCAGATATGATAGTTTAGATGTCACTCCAAACAGCCAATCTCTCAAACCCCTCCTTTAAAGTGCAGGCACTGTACCTCCCATCTCCAGGAATCAAGTCTGGCTAACTGGTTTCCCTGAATCCCTTTCACAAAATATTACCCTGCTTACACTCCAACAGTTCATCAGGTCAAAAAAAAAAAATTTGTCTCCATTCACTCTTATCTAACATGCTCACACATGCCTGCTGCATGTCCAGACCCCTTGCACACAAAACCTCTTTTACTCCCTCCCTTCATCCTTTTCTAGGATGTCGTTTACCCCTCCTCCCCTCCACTAGAGATTTATACATCCTCCAAGTCATTCTATTTTGCTCCATCCTCTCTATATGACCAAACTACCTCACTAAACCCTCTTCAGCCCTCTGAATAATACTTTTTGTAGCTCCACACATCCTCCTAATTTCCATACTACGAATTTTCTGCATAATATTTACACCACACATTGCCCTTAGACATGACATCTCCTCTACCTCCAGCCTCCTCCTTGCTTCACACCCAAATATGAGTGTTGGTACCACTATACTCTTGTACATTCCTGTCTTTGCTTCCATGGATAATTTTTTTTTCTCCACACACCACAATGAACCACTCACCTTTTTTCCTTCATCAATTCTATGGTTAACCTGATCCTTCATAAAACCATCTGTTGACAAATCTACTCCCAAATATCTGAACACATTCACTTCCATACTTCTTCCTCCAATGTGATATCCAATTTTTCTTTACCTAACTCACCTCATACTCTCATCACTTTATTCTTATCTATGTTCACTTTCAACTTTCTACCTTTACACACCCTCCTAAACTTGTCCATTAACCTTTGCAACTTCACTTTAGAATCTCCCAAAAATACAGTATCATCAGCAAAAGTAACTGTGACAGCTCCCATTTTGTATTTGATTCCCCATAATTTAATCCCACCCCTCTCCCAACACTCTAGCATTTACTTCTTTTACAACTCCAGATGTTAACCACTTCCCCCTCTAAGGCCTACTTTTACTGGAAAGTAATCTCCTTTTCTCCTATACACCATAACCTGAGCATCACTATCCTCACAAAAGCTCTTTACAGCTTCAGTAACTTAATACCTATTCCATACACTTGTAACATCTGCCACATTGCTCCCCTACCCACTATCATATGCCTTTTATAAATTCATAAATGCAATGAAAACATCCCTACCTTTATCTGAATATTGTTCACTTATATGCTTCAGTGTAAACACTTGATCTACACATGCCCTACCCATTCTAAAACCTCCATGTTCATCTGCAATCCTCTAATTCTTTCAATAATATCCCTACCATACACTTTACCTGGTATACTCAGTAATCTACTACTACTTCTTTCAACAAACCGGCCATATCCCACCAAGGCAGGGTAGCCCAAAAAGAAAATCAGAATTCTCTCTTTTTAACTTGAGTAATGTGTACAGGAGAAGGGGTTACCAGCCCCTTGCTCCCGGTATTTTAGTCGCCTCTTATGACACACATGGCTTACGGAGGAATTCTCAGTAAACTTATTTCTTTTGTCCCCTTTTCTCTTATATAAAGGAATTATACATGCTCTCTGCCAATCCCTAGGTACCCCCTCCCCACTTTCAAACATTTATTCAACAAAAGTACCAACCACTCCAACACTATATCCCCCCCCCCCCTGCTTTTAATATTTGTCATGATCCCATCATGACAGCAAAATTTGTTGACTGCACCTAACCCACATTTGTTCTCCTTTTGCACTCCCTCACCACTCTTAGGTTGTTTCATGCCTAAGCCACTTTCATGGAACTTTTGCAGTGAATAAGCCCAAGCAAAATCATCTTCCAATATTTTTCAATATAAGTATGAATAGCATTCTTTTAAAAAAGCATTAAGTGTGAAATACGAACAATCTGTCACAAATAATGTGAAGACTATAAGGCTATGAACCAGGAGGCCTGCTCTGGGACAAAGTTAAAAGATCAGTAATATCCAGAATCAACTGCAGGTAACTAGTGTTTAACCCTTCTGATGTAAGCTAAGAAACAATAATAAATGTAAAACTTTGATATGTACCTGTTCCTGCAGAGTACGAATGTAGGGTTCAGGAATAACTCCAAAAGACTCAGCATACTGTATTTGTGGGGGAGGAATCAGCTCAACATTTGGAGGGATGGATGCCTGTAAGAAATTAATACTTGTACAATTTCTTACTAAAATAAACAGGAATTTAGGAAAGGAGAACATTCTGAGTCATTTTAATATCCTGGGAGAAGAATGAATTAAAAAAATTATGGTTAACATTAAGTCTTTATTTAACACTTTCAGGGTACAACCCTCAATCTGAAACCTGATCTCACGGAAAAAAAAGAAAAAAATTCTTAAGAAATGGTAGCGAATCTTTTTCTGATGACAGTGACACCAAAAGTACAAAATTTGATGGAAAACTTAGGAAATTAAGATTTTGCAAAGTGAACAGCCTCTATGATATTTACGCACCAGTGATTTCACCCACCGAGTCCTATTTCAAGCGAATTCCTTTGTTCCAATCAACCAAACTCTTAGCTATTTTGCTAGTACACCTTTCATTCTATCGACTGAACACAAGAAACCACCCATTTAACTATTTCAACTACCCAATAAAGTGACCAAAAGTCAGTAATTTGGCCAAAAGCACAGTATCATCAGCAAAAAGCAACTGTGTAAACTCCCATTTTGTATTTGATTCCCCATAATTTAATCCCACCTCTCTCTCCAACACCCTAGCATTTATTTCTTTTACAACCCCATCTATAAATATGTTAAACAACCATGGTGACATTACATATCCCTGTCTAAGACCTATTTTTACTGGGAAGTAATCTCCCTCTGTCCTACACACCCTAACATGACCCTTACTACCCTCACAAAAACTCTTTACAGCATTTAGTAACTTACTACCAATTTCACATACTTGCAACATCTGCCACATTGCTTCCCTATCCACTATCATATGTTTTTTCTAAAGCTTACCTTCCTCCTTGTTCATCTGCAAACCTGCTCTCTGCCATACCTCTAATTCTTTCAATAATAATCCTTCCATACTAAGTAGTTTACTGAGTATACCATACTGGCATATTCAGTAAACTACTACTACTTCTTTTAACAAATTGGCAGTTTCCCACCGAGGCAGGGTGGCCCATAAAAAATAACAAAAGTTTCTCTTGTTAACTTTAGTAATGTATACAGGAGAAGGGGTTACTAGCCCCTTGCTTCTGGCATTTTAGTTGACTCTAACGACACGCATGGCTTACGGAAGAAGAATTCTGTTCCACTTCTCCATGGAGAACTCAATAAACTTATTCCCCTATAATTTTTACAATTTCTTTTGTCTCCTTTCCCTTTATATAAAGGAACTATACATGCTCTCTGCCAATGTCTAGGTACCTTCCCCTCTTTCAAACATTTATTAAACAAAAATACCAACCACTCCAACACTATATAACCCCCTGCTTAAAACATTTCTGTCATGATCCTGTCAGTTCCAGCTGTTTTACCCCCTTTTATTCTATGTAATGTCTCACGTGCCTCCCACACACTCACATCCTGCTCTTCTTCACTCCTAAAAGATGTTATACCTCCCCGACCAGTGCATGAAATTACTGCCTCCTTCTCTTCATCAACATTTAAAAGCTCCCCAAAATATTCCTGCCATCTATCCAATACCTCCGGTTCCCCATCTACTAACTCCTGCACTCTGTTTTTAACTGACAAATCCATATGTTCCCTGTTATGCAGAAAAGGTGGGACAGCTGGGGGCTAGAGCCTTGTCTAAGGGCAAAGGTAAAAGTTACACTCATCTTAAGCGTAAACAGGCCACCCAGGGCTATCCCAGTCAAAACAGAAAGTGCTAAACCAGCATTTGTACTTCAATGGGTTGGTTAATAGAGGGTTAGGCAAAAATCCTAGTTAGGAAAATATATCTATTTATTCAACATAACACTATATACACACTCTAGAAACACCTTCATCTATCTTCTATCCTAAACGCCCAAATGACGGTACACAAGGCGGCTGTCGGTCCAGTAACTATAACACTCGGCCTAGTCAGCGCCCGGCCTTCACTACTCCAATACCAACCCCATTTCTTATTTCCTCAGTCATCCCACAGCACCCTGACCATGTCAGAGCCTAGGTGAGCATACAGGTAAGCCATAGAAGAGCCTATGACTTGAGTTAGCTAAACAAAAGGAGTACACAACTACAAACTTAGCTTAAATACACAGCATCTCCGACGCCAGCCTCCATGCCATGCTGACTCCATGTGACTCCTCCCAGCCACGGTTACCCCGTGTACCCAAACACAGTTGGAAAATAAATACCTAGCAGGATTTCTTGATAATTATAGTTTAACCTACTTTACAGTATCCCCAAAAGCACCTTATGAATTATAAAATTATGCTTTACAATTATAACATTCCTACTATTATGACACCCTTCTCTACTGTATATACCTTACAATGTCATGCAGAACCCTGCATAACAACATTACAATGTCATGCAGAAGCCTGCTTAACATTCCCTAGGCATTTTTAACCTGTTTATCTCACTCCAAATTTTTTTCTTATTCTCAGCAAAAATTTCTTGAGTGCATCTCCCACTCTATCATTTGCTTCTTTTTGCATTCTCCCACCACTCTCTTCACCTTTGTTCTACTTTCCATATATTATGATTTCTTATATCACCTCTGCTTTGTAAAAACCTCTCATAAGCTACCTTTTTCTCTTTTACTTGACCCTTTACTTCATCATTCCACCAATCACTCCTCTTTCCTCCTGCACTCACCCTCCTATAGTGTAAAATAATAATGTAGACATTCCTGGCACTAAAACAACATTTCCTGTGTTCATTAATCATATCCCCAGGTCTCTCCTATATTGCACACTTGCCTTCCATTTTGAATTCATAATCACACAATAATAAAATATTTACTCTAAAAGCTATGTAACATATATGATGTAGGTAATATAGAAAGACAATTATTTAGAGATGAAAAAAAAGTATGAGAGTAAACCGACATAATCCTAAAAAAAATTATAAAGGCAATGGTTATCTCTAAATATATGGTGAAGATTTTAAATAAATAAATGTAACAGCTCAAGATAAAGAATTTATTGCCGTACCTGAGTTACTTCAGAGAACTGCATTAAAGCATGATCATTGAAGATGGCAGCCGGAACTTGAATGGACGGAGGACACACAGGTGGAGATGCTGATGCTGGAAGTGTGTTGGTATGAGATAAGGGAATATCAGTGGAAGGTGTGTAAGATGGTTGTATTACTTGTGAGCTTAACACAATGGAAGAAGCAGAGGCATATGTTGGAGAGGCAACAAGTGAAGTGAAAGGTGAAATTGAAGACATAACAGCTGATGGTGATGATGGGGGAGATGACTGAGGAGTTGAATGAGGAGAATCTCCAAGAGTGTGGTCCTCTGTGGTTACTACAGGTGAGCTACAGTGATGTTCTGGAGTCCCTATCACCACTAGTGCATCCTCAGCACTCTCCACACTCAGACGTTCAGAATCTGAAAGAGTATATAAACAACAGAATAAAAGCAATTCAAAAAGTTATATAGTTCAATTCCTCTCATTTTGTATTTTATATTTAAAGTTTTCAGTCACAAAATTATTACATACTAGTCATACTGAACAATATAAGTAATCAATGACTTCAGATAATGGAACAGGATATGTAATGGTTTTTGGGATGATCCCTTTGTGCAGTGTGTTATGGGCAGACTTCAGGTTCAAATAAAAAAAAAACTGAATATGTATACAAATTAGAGATGAATGTAGACTTTCTGGTTCATCCTGAACCATTATATATCAAGTCATGATTGAGAGTTGAAGAGAAGGAAGCCAAAAGTAAAGTCAGGCCTAGTCACCTGTGGTAGAAAAGAAGGAAGCTTCTACAAAAAAAAAAAGAGCTGGGGCTAACATTCATGTTAGGACTCCTAAGTATAGGGGGTGATTCAACAAGCTAGTATCAATGAAGACTAAAAGGACTGCGTCCTTACTCTCTAACTCTTGCACACACACACACACACTTGTCTCCCACTCTCTTGATCACACACACACACACACAGAATTTTCAGAGTTAAACTATGAACATTCCCTCTAACCTCTCCCCGACTTTGATTCTGTTATGCAATTTTGTGTTTTGTTTCCCTATGCCATATTTTAAAGGCTTTTCCTACACTCATAAACCAGATTCCTTTGTCCCATCATTACCTCCTGAGGCTGTCTTTCATTCTCTTGCCTCCTGGCTTGCCAAAACTCTTACCTTTTTTCTTACTTTTTTTTCCTTGCACGCCCATCACTCTTAGAACTTCACTGAAAGTGCAAATTTAATGAAGTGTCTGTGCAAATGTTTTGCTTGATGATGATCTCATTTCTTCTACTGATGTCTGTCTTGATCTTATTTGTTTTTGTGTAAATCATACCTCCTGTCTCCTTTTAAGATTTTTGTTATTTTTAAACTATTAGTGTTGAAGATATGCTCTTTTCTATCCCTTGTACTTATTTACAAGGAATATTTTGAAATTGTTCTACTTCACTATGTGGATTAAGATATAATTTTCTGACCATATGACACCAGTCTCTTACAACCCATTCTTGTTGCTCTTGATACTCTTCCTCCATCTATCACATTCAAAGGCAAATGGAAATTTGACTCAGTAATTCCTTTCCTTGATGTTCAGGTCCATTACCGTGTGATGCTTTTTCTTCTGTTACCACATAACCAATTCACAGTGATAGTCATTACTTTTCCTCTCATGCACAAAATTAGGCATGTTTTTATTTATCTTTTCCTCTTTGCCCTCAACAACTGTAATCCTTAGTGTTGCCCCTCCATAAACATGTACATCCTGGAGCCTACCCATCAACCTTTTATCCACCAATACACAATCTAACAAACTACTTTCATTACGTGCTATATCATACCTTGTATATTTATGTATCCTCTTTTTCATAAAATATGTATTACTTATTACCAAACCTCTTTTTACACAGATCAATTAAAGGCTCCCCATTATTATTTACCCCTGGCACCCTAAATTTACCTACTACTCCCTCCACAACATTTTTACCCACTTTAGCATTGAAATCCCCAGCCACATGTACTCTCACACTTGGTTCAAAACTCCCCACGCATTCACTCAACATTTCCCAAAATCTCTCTCTCTCCTCTACACTTCTCTCTTCTCCAGGTGCATATATGCTTACTATAATCCACTTATCAAATCCAACCTTTATTTTACCCCATTTATTCCTCTCCACTGAAACTCTCCCACCCCCTTCAGCTTTGTTTCACTTAAAGCCAGGACATCCAGCTTCTTCTCATTCATAACATCCACAATCGTCTCTTTCTTATCATTCGCACAACATCCACGCACATTCAGACAACCCACTTTGACAATTTTCTTCTTCTTATTCTTTTTAGTAATTATTACAGGAAAAGGGGTTACTAGCCCATTGTTCCCGGCATTTTAGTTGAGTTTTACAACACGCATGGCTTACAGAGGAAAGATTCTTATACCACTTCCCCATGGATATAAAAGGAAAAGTAATAAGAACAAGAGCTATTAAGATAAAAAAAAAAAAAAAAAAAAAAAAAAAAAAAAAAAAAAAAAAAACAGATGAGTGTGTATAAATAAACATGTACATGTATGTGTAGTGTGACCCAAGTCTAAGTAGAAGTAGCAAGATGTACCTGCTATCTTGCATATTTATGAGACAGACAAAAGACACCAGCAATCCTACCATCATGTAAAACAATTACAGGTTTTCATTTTACACTCACTTGGCAGGACGGAAGTACCTCCCTGGGTGGTTGCTGTCTACCAACCTACTTCTACGCCTTTCTAGAGAGTGCAGAGTCAGGGCCCTCAGTCTATCCTAATAGGGAAGATTTCTGATACATGGGATTAACTTTGTCATCCTCCTTTGTATGTTTTCCAGTGCATTTATATACATTTTGTAATACGGTGACCAAAACTGTGCAGCATAATCTACATGAGGCCTAACCAAAGTTATATAGAGTTGAAGAACAACCTGAGGACTTGTATTATTTATACTTCTTGCTATGAAGCCAAGCATTCTGTTAGCTTTATAGTGAGCACTAATGCACTGTTGTCTTGGTTTCAGATTACTACTAACCAGAACTCCTAAATCCTTTTCGCAATCCGTAATATTAAGATCTACATTATTTAGTTTGTATGTGGCATGGTTATTTTCCTGTCCAACATTTAGAACTTTGCATTTGTCTTTATTAAACTGCATTTGCTACTTCTCTGACCACTGCACGAGTCTATTCAAATCATTCTGGAGTGCTCTAATGTCCTCATTAGAATGAATTGGATGGCCTATTTTGGTGTCATCAGCAAATTTGCTTATGTTGCTATTTATCCCCTCATCTATGTCGTTTATAATAATGTTGGTAGAATTACCAACATTATTATTAGACGTTGTATCCGCAACCTCTCCATCCATAACAAGAAACTAAGCAGTTTGGACGTGACTTCCCTCTTCACAAAAGTACCTACCACAAAAGCCATCGAGGTTCTACGACGTAAAGTCAATCAGGACCTTAATCTTCCTCTACCTCCCGGAGATTTTGTTGACTTGATTGAACTCTGTGTTAATTTCAACTGTTTTTCTTTCAATAACAAGCTTTACAAACAAACCTACGGCATGGGAATGGGGTCCCCCATCAGTGCCGTCCTAGCCAACTTATACATGGAACACCTAGAGTCCGAACACTTTGCAAACATCATCCCTTCAAGCGTCACTTGGTTACGTTACGTGGATGTCCTCGTAATAACTCCCAAACGTTTTGATGTATGGAATCTTTAGGCAAGGCTCAACGCAGTTGAACCAGCAATCCAGTTTACACTAGAAGAAGAGTCCAATGACAAGCTACCTTTCTTCGACGTCCTCATTCACAAAGTAGACAACAACCTAAGATTTCAAGTTTATCAGAAACCTACAAATCAAAATGATCTCACACACTTCTATTCCAGTCAAGATACCAAGACCAAAAGAGGCATCATCATCGGGTTTTTCCTAAGAGCATACCGAATTTGTAGTCCTGAGTTTCTTGATGAGGAATGTACTACATACATTCACCAAACCTTCACTGAGTTACATTTTCCTTCCTTTTTCATCAAAGACTGCAAGAAAAGAGCTCTTCTGATCATTAATTCTCCACTCACCAACACCACTCCCAGCAAAGTTATAATTCTTCCCAACAGCCAGGTTGCACTGAACGTTTCCAAAGTACTTTCACAAGCTAACACCAGAGTCGCCATCGCTTCTAGCACTTCAATAAAGGATCTAACCAGGACAAAATCAAAGCACCATGAACCAGTCAATGCAGGGGTTTACACTATACCCTGTGGAGGCTGTGACAAGATTTATGTAGGTGAAACAGCAAGAAACCTCGACACCCACCTCAATGAACACATTTACGCATGTAGGAACGATAACTTGAACAACGCCTGTGTACAACACCAAAATTCCACCAATCATCTCATGAAATTCAGGGACGCCCAATTAGTGATCAAAGAAACTAATTTCCGCAGACGCAAGTGCCTCCAATCAGCACTGATCGCTGTTTCGAATACAATTAAACAAAACAATGGCAGCTTCACCATCTCTGAAGCCTTAGCAAGAATCCTCCTGAAAACAGTAAACCCTGCCATCACATAGTCTCTCCTGCTATACTACACAAAGCACATTACAGAGAGTGAACACTGAAACAGGCCTTCTTATCCAGTCTATATTTGTCCAACCAATTTTTATGTTACCCAAGTAATAGCTTTTATATCCTTTCACTCATGTACGAATTAATTGCTCTACCATATTGTATTACTACTACTACTACAACTTTTGTCACTACTACTACTACCACTAGTGAACATCGAAATGGTACCTCACTCTGAGCCTTTATATACCCTCTGTGTCCATATACTGTTTGTATCGGCTTGACAAAGCTCCTGGAGAGCGAAACGTTGCCACAATAAAATGTCACATTAGTTGCACTTGTGTCCTTTTACTTTACATATGCCGTTTATGTAGATTGTGAACAACAAGGGGGCCCAATGCTGATCCCTGTGGAACACCACTTATGACATGCCCCCATTCTGATTTCTCCCCATTTATGCAAACTCTGCTGCCTATTCATCAACCATGCCTCAACCCAGGAAAAAATTTCTCCTCCTATTCCGTGTGCCTTACGTTTCCTCAATAGCCTCTGATGTGGAACTCTATCGAAAGCCTGCTCATCCTCCAAACATGGATGACCTAATTTTCGAGGAGTTTGGGTTCATCACAGTAAAGTTCTTGCCCCCAAATACCACTCCTCTCCTCCAGCCCATGGACCAGCAGGTCATTGCAAACTTTAAAAAACTCTACACCAAAGCAATGTTTCACAGGTGCTTGACTGTGACCACAGACACTCACTTGACCCTAAGGGAATTTTGGAGAGAACACTTCAGCATCCTCCATTGCATAACCCTTATAGGTATGGCTTGGGAGGGAGTGACTACCAGGACTTTGAACTCTGCCTGGAGAAAATTGTGGCCAGATTGTGTCGACAAGAGGGATTTTGAAGGGTTTGGGACTGACCCTCATGAGCCTATGTCTGTTGTAAAATCAATTGTGGCACTGGGGAGTTCCATGGGGTTGGATGTGAGTTTGGAGGATGTGGAAGAATTGGTGGAAGACCACAACGAAGAGCTCACCACTGAGGAGCTGCAAGAGCTTCAGCAGGAAGAGCAACACATCGCAGCTCAGAATCTTGCTGCAGAGGAGGAGGAAGAGAGATGGAAGAAGGTGCCTTCTTCAGAAATTAAAGAGATTTTTACTATGTGGGGTAAGATGGAAAGCTTTTTGGAGAAACATCACCCTAACAAGGTTGTTGCAAGCCATATTGGCAACATGTACAGCGACAAAGTCTTGGGCCATTTTAGGGAAGTGTTAAAGAGACGCCAGAAACAGAGCTCTCTCCACAGTTATTTTGCGAGACAGGACTCCATTGACTCTCAAGGTGGTCCTAGTGGCATTAAGAAACAGAGAAGACAAGCAACCCCAGAAAAGCAATTGGTACCTGAGGTGTTGCTGGAAGGGGATTCCCTTTCCAAACTATAAACAATCCACTCTCTCCTCCTCCTCCAGTCTCCCATACACTAAGAAGAATCTCCAATAAAGGTAAGTGTTATGCTGTTAATGTTTCATTCATCATTTCCCATTGTATTGTTTATGTACTACATGTATATTTCATGTAAAAAATTTTTTTGTTTTAATACTTCTGGGTGTCAGGAACGAATTAATTGTATTTACATTATTTCTTATGGGGAAAATTGATTCGTAAATCGTAAATTTCGTTTATATTTATAGTAACGGCTCCAGGAACGGATTAATTATGAAAAACAAGGGACCACTGTAGTAGTAAAATTATAGAGGAATAAGTTTACTGAGCCTAGGTAGTAGGTTGGTAGACAGCAACCGCCCAGGGAGGTACTACCGTCCTGCCAAGTGAGTGTAACACGAAAGCCTGTAATTGTTTTACATGATGGTAGGATTGCTGGTGTCCTTTTTTCTGTCTCATGAACATGCAAAATTTCAGGTACGTCTTGCTACTTCTACTTACACTCAGGTCACACTACACATACATGTACAAGCGTATATATACATACCCCTCTGGGTTTTCTTCGATTTTCTTTATAGTTCTTGTTCTTGTTTATTTCCTCTTATCTCCATGGGGAAGTGGAACAGAATTCTTCCTCCGTAAGCCATGTGTGTTGTAAGAGGCGGCTAAAATGCCGGGAGCAAGGGGCTAGTAACCCCTTCTCCTGTATATATCACTAAATTTGAAAGGAGAAACTTTGGTTTTTTCTTTTGGGCCACCCTGCCTCGGTGGGATACGGCCGGTGTGTTGAAAGAAAGAAGAAGTTTACTGAGTGTACCAGGTAGTGTATGGTAGGGCTATTACTGAAAGAATTAGAGGTAAGACAGAGAGCAGGATTGTAGATGGGCAAGGAGGCTTTAGAATGGGTAGGGACAGTGGCAGTATTGTCTGCAAATGATAACACTGTGTTGTGGATTACATCTCTGTTTATGTATGATATGAGGATGAGGAACAGGATGGGGGCGAGTACTGTACGTGGAGCCCTCCTGTATATGTGGGGCCCTCCTGTATACGTTGGGCCCTCCTGTATATGTGGGGCCCTCCTGTATATGTGGGGCCCTCCTGTATACGTGGGGCCTTCCTGTATACACAGGGCACTCTTGCATACACAGGGCCCTCCTGTACTCAATATTAGGCCAATACTGATGTCATCAAAATTACCAGATATCCATACCATCAAAATTAGCTGATACCCATGGATACTTGTATCAAAACTGGACGATACCCACCATTACCGATACTTCTGCACACCCTTCAAAATAATTTTTATTTTAATATTACACATCTTTATACAAAACTGCACCATTGGTTTCATTATGTATTAATACAAATGCAAATAGCTATACTGGTTTTTCTCACTCGTGCAAGAATTACGTTGATATTAAAGTTATTTTACTGTAATCCTGTTGAATTTTTATTATTATGAAAAGAGCCTAGTGTTGAACTTAAATGCTTAGTAATTGGCAGTAATCTAAAACTATGCCTTTAACCCATGCACTAATTGATATGCATTCTTTTTGATAATCCTTTAATTGCTCCTTTTTAAAATAACTTTAATAATCATGCACTGACAGTAATGGTAAAACACAGTACTACCATATATTAATCAACAAACCATTGATACCAATGGAGTTCTCAAGAATTTCATTATCTTCATAGGTGTGTATTGGAGATGATGAAGACCACTGAGGCTCCTCACTGCCTTGGCTCTTGGGTGGTTCCTCTGGAGGGCTTTGATTCATCAGAAACACACATTTAAGTATTTTCCGCAAGTCACTAGCATAGTTTGTTTGAAGCTGATCAGCAACACCCGAGATACACACAAATAGACGATGGATCAAATCTTGTGCATCAGAAAATCTGGAACATATTACCACCAATTTGCCCTTTATTGATATCTTTTTTGTTTACATTCACAAGTGCCACATCTTTATTTATAAAATAAAATAAAAAATATTACTAAACTTAGAAAGAAAAACTTTCGTTTTTCTAAAATAGGTCACCCTATCTCGGTGGGATATGGCTGGTGTGTTCATAAATAAATAAATGTGTGTGTGTGCACACACCCCTTCCCCCCACACACACAGGCATTGTACACGTACCATCCGACTTAAGACCAAGCTTGGTTCCGACCAACCGGTCGTAAGTCAAAATGGACGTAAGTCGAACCTTTGAAAATTGCCGACATACTGGGTAGGGGATAATGTCAAACCTTTCCTATATAAACTACCTACATAGTACTGTAATGTAATGTACAATCATTATTTCATTCTTTTTACCATAATTTGCTTTTATTGATATATTTTAATTATTTCGGTACTGTATAATATGTATACATGGTTTTGAACTGTATTGTAAATTTTACATCGCATACAGTATCACATGTTACTGTTATCTTTATGTGTTGTCGACACAGTGGAATAGGAGAATACCACTGGTAGTGTCATCCTGCCAGAATGTAGTATAACCTATACCCTAAGTAAAGAGAAACAACTCCGGAACACGTGTAATACATATCCGGCAGGCTGGGTGTGTGGGTGTGTGGGTGGGTGGTTGGCTGACTGAATGTGGCTCTCTCTCTATCTGCATCTCTCTGTCTCACTCTCTCTCTCTCTCACAGGTAAACATAAGTAAAGTTATCATACATAGTATAAATTACCTAGGATAACCCAAAAAATCCAGACAAAGTGCTATACAGTGGATCTGTGCTCCAGTGCCCTAAATTAATATTTTTTTTTTTTCAACAAGTTGGTCGTCTCCCACCGAGGCAGGGTGACCCAAAAAAGAAAGAAAATCCCCAAAAAGAAAATACTTTCATCATCATTCAACACTTTCACCACACTCACACATTATCACTGTTTTTGCAGAGGTGCTCAGAATACAACAGTTTAGAAGCATATACGTATAAAGATACACAACATATCCCTCCAAACTGCCAATATCCCAAACCCCTCCTTTAAAGTGCAGGCATTGTACATACTTCCCATTTCCAGGACTCAAGTCCGACTATAAGAAAATAACCGGTTTCCCTGAATCCCTTCACTAAATATTACCCTGCTCACACTCCAACAGATCGTCAGGTCCCAAGTATCATTCGTCTCCATTCACTCCTATCTAACACGCTCATGCACGCTTGCTGGAAGTCCAAGCCCCTCGCCCACAAAACCTCCTTTACCCCCTCTTTCCAACCCTTTCGAGGACGACCCCTACCCCTCTTTCCTTCCCCTATAGATTTATATGCTTTCCATGTCATTCTACTTTGATCCATTCTCTCTAAATGACCAAACCACCTCAACAACCCCTCTTCTGCACTCTGACTAATGCTTTTATTAACTCCACACCTTCTCCTAATTTCCACACTCCGAATTTTCTGCATAATATTTACATTACACATTGCCCTTAGACAGGACATCTCCACTGCCTCCAACCGTCTCCTCGCTGCTGCATTTACCACCCAAGCTTCACATCCATATAAGTGTGTTGGTACTACTATACTTTCATACATTCCCTTCTTTGCCTCCATAGATAACGTGCTTTGACTCCACATATACCTCAACGCACCACTCACCTTTTTTCCCTCATCAATTCTATGATTAACCTCATCCTTCATAAATCCATCTGCCGACACGTCAACTCCCAAGTATCTGAAAACATTCACTTCTTCCATACTCCTCCTCCCCAATTTGATATCCAATTTTTCTTTATCTAAATCATTTGATACCCTCATCACCTTACTCTTTTCTATGTTCACTTTCAACTTTCTACCTTTACACACATTCTCAAACTCATCCACTAACCTTTGCAATTTTTCTTTAGAATCTCCCATAAGCACAGTATCATCAGCAAAAAGTAACTGTGTCAATTCCCATTTTGAATTTGATTCCCCATAATTTAATCCCACCCCTCTCCCGAACACCCTAGCATTTACTTCTTTTACAACCCATCTATAAATATATTAAACAACCATGGTGACATTACACATCCCTGTCTAAGACCTACTTTTACCGGGAAGTAGTCTCCCTCTCTTCTACACACCCTAACCTGAGCCTCACTATCCTCATAAAAGCTCTTTACAGCATTTAGTAACTTACCACCTATTCCATAAACTTGCAACATCTGCCACATTGCTCCTCTATCCACTCTATCATATGCCTTTTCTAAATCCATAAATGCAATAAAAACTTCCCTACCTTTATCTAAATACTGTTCACATATATGCTTCAATGTAAACACTTGATCTACACATCCCCTACCCACTCTGAAGCCTCCTTGCTCATCCGCAATTCTACATTCTGTCTTACCTCTAATTCTTTCAATTATAACTCTACCGTATACTTTTCCTGGTATACTCAGTAAACTTATTCCTCTATAATTTTTACAATCTCTTTTGTCCCCTTTCCCTTTATATAAAGGAACTATACATGCTCTCCGCCAATCCCTAGGTACCTTCCCCTCTTTCATACATTTATTAAACAAAAGTACCAACCACTCCAACACTATATCCCCCCTGCTTTTAACATTTCTGTCATGATCCCATCAGTTCCAGCTGCTTTACCCCCTTTAATTCTACGTAATGCCTCACGTACCTCCACCACACTTACATTCTGCTCTTCTTCACTCCTAAAAGATGGTATACCTCCCTGGCCAGTGCATGAAATTACCGCCTCCCTTTCTTCCTCAACATTTAAAAGTTCCTCAAAATATTCTCGCCATCTACCTAATACCTCCCTCTCCCCATCTACTAACTCCCCTACTCTGTTTTTAACTGACAAATCCATACTTTCCCTAGGCTTTCTTAACTTGTTTAACTCACTCCAAAATTTTTTCTTATTTTCATTAAAATTTCTTGACAGTGCCTCTCCCACTCTTTCATCTGCTCTCCTTTTGCACTCTCTCACCACTCTCTTCACCTTTCTTTTACACTCCATATACTCTGCTCTTCTTATAACACTTCTGCTTTGTAAAAACCTCTCGTAAGCTACCTTTTTCTCTTTTATCACACCCTTTACTACATCATTCCACCAATCACTCCTCTTTCCTCCTGCCCCCACCCTCCTATAACCACAAACTTCTGCCCCACATTCTAATACTGCATTTTTAAAACTATTCCAACCCTCTTCAACCCCCCCACCACTCATCTTTGCACCAGCCCACCTTTCTGCCAATAGTCGCTTATATCTCGCCCGAACTTCCTCCTCCCTTAGTTTATACACTTTCACCTCCCTCTATATTAATATATTAATAATATTATTATTAAACTATAATATAATAATCGTGTCCACTCATTACTTACCTTAAAATATCTGTAGTCTTAATGTAGAGTGAGAGGTGAGTAAACAAGATTAAACGAATAAACAAGAGAGAGAATGAGAGTGTAGAAGGTTCAGGAGCTATGTAAACAAACGTTGTTGTTGTTGTTACCAGCCCAGACACGAATGGTTTTTGTTCACTCTGTCAAGCTGACCAGAAAAACATCTCATATTTGTTAATTTATATGTTTATATGTTATGTAGCATGTTTATTATATAATTTTGAAAAAAAAAAATCATAGATGGATTAAGCAATATGTCTATATTAACGTTTTATACACATTTAATGTGCCTCAGTGATTAAAATTGTGTTATTATCATTATTAATATGGCATCTTCAAGACCAATTACACTCTTAATGAGTGGCTCTGAGACAGACAAGCAGACAGAAAGACAGACACACCGGTAGACAAAAAGACAGACACACAGGGAGACAGAAAGACAGACACACAGGGAGACAGAAAGACAGACACACAGGGAGACAAAGACACACACACAGGTAGACATAAAGACAGACACACAGGTAGGCAGACAGAGACACACAGGCAGACAGAAAGACAGATAAACAGACACACAGATACAGCTATACAGGCAGACAGATACAGACAGGTTCATGTGCACCAGTGAAAACAAACAGAGTTCAAGAGTAAGAGCCTATCTTGCGATAATCTCCAGTGCAAGATTTAGACTTCATCTTAGGGGCCATGGTGAAATTTACTGTCCAGTTAGTACAGTTAATGCAGTATGATGCTGCTGATTGGGCAGGGTTACTCAAACTGATGCTGCCTGCACGGAGCACTGCCACCGCGAGTATAGTCAAATATTGTACAGCAGTGTGCATCAGATGGCCCAGCCCAGCTGCCAGATGCACGGTCGTAAGTCGAGTGGACGTATGTCAAGCAGGTCATAAGTCTGATGGTAGGTGTACTTCCCACCTCCAGTGTGTGTGTACTCACCTAACTGTGGTTGCAGGGGTCAAGACTCAGCTCCTGGCCCTGCCTCTTCACTGAGTGCTACTAGGTCTTGTGTGTGTGTGTGTGTGTGTGTGTGTGTGTGTGTGTGTGTGTGTGTGTGTGTGTGTGTGTGTGTGTGTGTGTGTGTGTGTGTGTGTGTGTGTGTGTGTGCGCGCGTGCGTGCGTGCGTGTGCATGTGTGTGTGTGTGTGTGTGTGTGTGTGTGTGTGTGTGTGTGTGTGTGTGTGTGTGTGTGTGTGTGTGTGTGTGTGTGTGTGTGTGTGTGTGTGTGTGTACTCACCTAGTTGTACTCACCTAGTTGAGGTTGCGGGGGTCGAGTCCGAGCTCCTGGCCCCGCCTCTTCACTGATCGCTACTAGGTCACTCTCCCTGAGCCGTGAGCTTTATCATACCTCTGCTTAAAGCTATGTATGGATCCTGCCTCCACTACATCGCTTCCCAAACTATTCCACTTACTGACTACTCTGTGGCTGAAGAAATACTTCCTAACATCTCTGTGATTCATCTGTGTCTTCAGCTTCCAACTGTGTCCCCTTGTTACTGTGTCCAATCTCTGGAACATCCTGTCTTTGTCCACCTTGTCAATTCCTCTCAGTATTTTGTATGTCGTTATCATGTCCCCCCTATCTCTCCTGTCCTCCAGTGTCGTCAGGTTGATTTCCCTTAACCTCTCCTCATAGGACATACCTCTTAGCTCTGGGACTAGTCTTGTTGCAAACCTTTGCACTTTCTCTAGTTTCTTCACGTGCTTGGCTAGGTGTGGGTTCCAAACTGGTGCCGCATACTCCAATATGGGCCTAACGTACACGGTGTACAGGGTCCTGAATGATTCCTTATTAAGATGTCGGAATGCTGTTCTGAGGTTTGCTAGGCGCCCATATGCTGCAGCAGTTATTTGGTTGATGTGCGCTTCAGGAGATGTGCCTGGTGTTATACTCACCCCAAGATCTTTTTCCTTGAGTGAGGTTTGTAGTCTCTGACCCCCTAGACTGTACTCCGTCTGCGGCCTTCTTTGCCCTTCCCCAATCTTCATGACTTTGCACTTGGTGGGATTGAACTCCAGGAGCCAATTGCTGGACCAGGTCTGCAGCCTGTCCAGATCCCTTTGTAGTTCTGCCTGGTCTTCGATCGAGTGAATTCTTCTCATCAACTTCACGTCATCTGCAAACAGGGACACCTCAGAGTCTATTCCTTCCGTCATGTCGTTCACAAATACCAGAAACAGCACTGGTCCTAGGACTGACCCCTGCGGGACCCCGCTGGTCACAGGTGCCCACTCTGACACCTCGCCACGTACCATGACTCGCTGCTGTCTTCCTGACAAGTATTCCCTGATCCACTGTAGTGCCTTCCCTGTTATCCCTGCTTGGTCCTCCAGTTTTTGCACCAATCTCTTGTGTGGAACTGTGTCAAACGCCTTCTTGCAGTCCAAGAAAATGCAATCCACCCACCCCTCTCTCTCTCTTGTCTTACTGCTGTCACCATGTCATAGAACTCCAGTAGGTTTGTGACACAGGATTTCCCGTCCCTGAAACCATGTTGGCTGCTGTTGATGAGATCATTCCTTTCTAGGTGTTCCACCACTCTTCTCCTGATAATCTTCTCCATGATTTTTGCATACTATACATGTCAGTGACACTGGTCTGTAGTTTAATGCTTCATGTCTGTCTCCTTTTTTAAAGATTGGGACTACATTTGCTGTCTTCCATGCCTCAGGCAATCTCCCTGTTTCGATAGATCTATTGAATATTGTTGTTAGGGGTACACATAGCGCCTCTGCTCCCTCTCTCAATACCCATGGGGAGATGTTATCTGGCCCCATTGCCTTTGAGGTATCTAGCTCACTCAGAAGCCTCTTCACTTCTTCCTCGGTTGTGTGCACTGTGTCCAGCACTTGGTGGTGTGCCCCACCTCTCCGTCTTTCTGGAGTCCTTCTGTCTCCTCTGTGAACACTTCTTTGAATCTCTTGTTGAGTTCTTCACATACTTCACGGTCATTTCTTGTTGTCTCTCCTCCTTCCTTCCTTAGCCTGATTACCTGGTCCTTGACTGTTGTTTTCCTCCTGATGGTGGCTGTACAACAGTTTTCGGTCAGATTTGGTTTTCGCTGCTATGTCATTTTCATATTGTCTTTGGGCCCCCTTCATATCTGTGCATATTTGTTTCTGGCTCTACGACTGTTCTCCTTATTCTCCTGGGTCCTTTGCCTTCTATATTTCTTCCATTCCCTAGCACACTTGGTTTTTGCCTCCCTGCACCTTTGGGTAAACCATGGGCTCATCCTGGCTTTTTCATTAATCCTGTTACCCTTGGGTACAAACCTCTCCTCAGCCTCCTTGCATTTTGTTGCTACATATTCCATCATCTCATTAACTGGCTTCCCTGCCAGTTCTCTGTCCCACTGAACCCCGTTCAGGTAGTTCCTCATTCCTGTGTAGTCCCCTTTCTTGTAGTTTGGCTTCATTCGTCCTGGCCTTCCTGCTTCTCCCTCCACTTGTAGCTCTACTGTGTATTCGAAGCTTAAAACCACATGGTCACTGGCCCCAAGGGGTCTTTCATATGTGATGTCCTCGATATCTGCACTACTCAAGGTGAATACTAAGTCCAGCCTTGCTGGTTCATCCTCTCCTCTCTCTCTTGTAGTGTCCCTTACGTGTGTGTGTGTGTGTGTGTGTGTGTGTGTGTACACTCACTCAGTTGTGAGTGTGAGAGGGTGTGAGTGGGTGGGTGTGAAAGGGTGGGAGTGGGTGGGCATGAATAGGTGGGCATGAGTGGGTGGGCATGAGTGGGTGGGCATGAGTGGGTGGGCATGAGTGGGTGGGCATGAGTAGGTGCACACACATGCACACGTACACAGTCTGGAGTAATGTAGTAGAGGTAGCATCCACACATAGCTTTAAGAAGAGGTATGATAAAGCTCATAGAGCAGGGAGAGTGGACCTAGTATTGACCAGTGAAGAGGCAAGGCCAGGAGCTATGAGTTGACCCCAGCAAGCACAATTAGGCGAGTTCATTCGTTCGTGCGTTCGTTTGTTCGTTCTCATTCTCTCTCTCTCTCTCTCGAGGTGGGAGGTACAATGCCTGCACTTATAAAAAAAAAAAAAACACTTCCACCATCATTCACACTATCAGAGGTGCACAGATATGACAGTTTAGATGTTACTAAATAGCAAATATCTCAAATCCCTCATTTAGAGTGCAGGCATTGTACTTCCCACCTCCAAGTCTCAATTCTGGCTAACCAGTTACCTGAATCCCTTGAAGAATTGAGACACTTATGCAACGCATGGTAATCTTTATTGAAGAAACGTTTCGCCACACAGTGGCTTCATCAGTCCAATACAAAGTAGAAATGGGTAAGGAGAGGAGAAGTTTGAGGTAATCAGTCCCTTAATCTGGAATCCATGTGTTCGGTCCATCACTCTTGTAGGAAGTGCAGCAAAGGGCCAGAAAGGTGGCTTATATACTGCAGTCAGATGAGTCAAAGCAGGAGGAGGTGGGATCACAGTGGGACCTGCCACTAGTGTAAGTAGGTCGTCATCCAAAGGTTGGGCAAGCGTTGAAGTCTTTGTACTAAGATTCCATGATGTTGCAGTGTCTGACAGATGTTATGAATGGTTTTGAAAACCGACAAGTTGAACCGACTTGTCGGTTTTCAAAACCATTCATAACACCTGAATCCCTTCACAAAATATTTCCTTATTTACACTCCAACAGCTCATCAAGTCCCAAAAACCATATCTCTCCACTCACTCCTATCTAACATGCTCACGTGCCTGCTGTATGTCCAAGCCACTTACACACAAAACCTTTACCCCTGCCCCCCCTTTCAACTATTACCCTAGAAAATTATGAACATTTTTTTTAACATACTTGCCATGTCCCTTCGAGGTAGGGTGACCGAAAAAAAATTAACACGATCAACATCATTCACACTATCAGTCATAAAGAATTACACACTTAAGTTGTTTAAATTATATAAATAATGGAAAAGGACAAAACGTTATTTACCTTGCACGAGCTCTCCAAGTAGCAGCAACTTCTGCTGCCTGAAGAGCCAGGGCGACTTCCTCATCATCTTCTGCACCAGAATTATAGGGTGATGTTGAGCCACTTGAACAACGTCCACTCTGACTCTCAGGACTAACTGAATCTACAGCAGCTGAATTTGATATCTGCACCTGTATCTGCAAGTTTCCTTGGTCAGTCTGATGAGTGCTTGATGCATTATCTAGTTCTTTTCTTTTGTTCATCTCATGCACTTCCTTAGATACACTACTGTCTCTTTTCTTCATTTCTGCCAATTTTTGTACACATCCACAAGAAGTGACATTGTTCGTAACATCTGCACAGGAAGTGCAGTCCAAAGTAAAGCTTTGGTTATGACAAGAACATGGCCGAGTAGTCCCACATATTTCATTAGAATCCCTAGTGCATTTTGAGTTATCATGAATGCACAGTTGTGCTGTGGCATTTGCTATGGCCTCAGAATCCCTGTTCTCAAACTCTTGACTTTCAGACAAAAAACAGAGAGAGATTATGTCATGGTCTGCTGCTTCTATATTACTAACACAATCATTAACACATGAAGGGCTTGCCTCCCCAAATCTACTGTTAGCCTGAATATTTACATGAACACTATCACACAAACTATCACAATGTGTTGAGGCAGTGCTACAATGGGGATGAACAATTGGAGACTGAACTGGTGTTAGTTCATACTGTGCCTGAGTAGCATCAAAATGAGGAGTGTCAGACTGACTGGGTACCTGCTGTGAATCATCACAATAGCCACGGTCATATTCATTAACAGTACCACAAGAACAGGCAATAGTTTTGATTCTATCAACAGGCTGGTGTTTAGATCGTCTAGAACGGTGAACATGGTGTCGTTGGTATTGATAGCGTTGCTCTGACTGGTGCCCTGGGTGCTGGTGGTGGTGATGCTGCTGTTGCTGCAGCTGCTGATGATGATGGTCATATGGTGGTGGTGGTGGAGGAGGGACTGGTTGATGGTGTTGATGTTCCTGATGGTCAGAGCGAGAAGAAGTTCTTGGCTGATGGTGCTGGGAATGATGATGTTCATCCCCACTATCACTATCTGGAGGAGGTGGAGGTGGAGGATTCTGGTGATGACGGTGAGAGTGGCTACGGCGAGACCTGCGGCGTGCTCTTGGCCTCTCTTCTACAGTGGCATTTAGACGAGCAAGAAATTTTTCACTCTGACGTTCTTGCCTTGCTCTGGAGCGTGATCCTCTACTTTTGCCAGAAGTTCGCTCGCGCTTTCGTTCATAGCGCTCAGGCTTCTTTCCAGGTTGGTATAAAGAACTTAATTCTGGAGTGAGATATTTGCATGATGGATAGCTAGCATAAAATTTTTGAACAAAATCAGAAGTAAAGGATGCCTGCCCATATGCATTTGGTGGTAAGCTGTCATCATTAGAAATCTGTGAGGATGGATCAGGTTCATCAATAGAACACAAAGCTTTCTCCAGTGCTGCCAATTCGCTAGTGCTCATTGTCCAGAGAAGTTCACGTATTTTACTCAGCAGAGTCTGAAAAAAATAATATACATGTACACAATTTTATCATCTGCACAATGTAAGACTATAAATTCATTACATTTGATCTACTTCATGAACAGTTTATGCTTTCAAATTATATTTATTCAACTGAAATAACTTAAAACCTGCAAAATACAATCCTTGTTTTAGGAAAGCTAACAAAAGAACTTTTATGGATGAAAATATATTAACTATCTTTATCATTTACTCCACAGGGAAGTGGAACAGAATTCTTCCTCCATAAGCCATGCATGTCATAAGGGGCAACTAAAATGCCAGAGCAAAGTGCTAGCAGCCCTTTCTCCTGTATAAATTACTAAATTTCAAAAGAGAAACTTTGGTTTTTCTTTTTGGGCCACCCCGCTTCAGTGGGATACGGCCGGTTTGCTGAAAGAAAGAAAGAATAATAATACTGATAATAATAATTATGTATTATCTATTACCAAACCCCTTTCTATAAAAAGTTCATTCAAAGGTTCCCCATTATCATTTACAGTTGGCACCCCAAACTTACCTACAACACCCTCTACACCTGGCACCAAAACTTACCTACCACACCCTCTACACCTGGCACCCAAACTTGCCTACCACACCCTCTACAACTGTTTCACCCACTTTAGCATTCATGTCCCCCACCACAATTACTCTCTCACTTGGTTCAAAATTTCCCCAACACTTGCATAACATCTCCCAAAATCTCTCTCTCTCTCTCTCTCTCTCCTCTACATTTCTCTCTTCCCTCAGGTGCATAAACACTTATTATAACCCACTTTTCATATCTGACCCTTATTTTAATCAACATAATTCTTGAATTTATGCATTTATATTCCCTCTTCTCCTTCCGTAACTGATCCTTCAACATTATTGCTACCCATTCCTTAGCTCTAACTCTCTCAAATATTCTTGACCTAATCCCATTTATTTCTCCCCACTGAAACTCCCCTACCCCCTTCAGCCTTGTTTCGCTTAGAGCAAGGACATCTGCTTCTTTTCATTCATAACACTGGCAATCATCCCTTTCTTATCATTTGTACTATATTCACATACATTCAAACACCCCAGCTTTATAAAATTTTTCTTATTTTTTGTTTAGTACGTAATTTATACAAGAGAAGGGGTTACTAGCCCATTGCTCCGGGCCTTTTAGTCACCTTTCACAACATGCATGGCAAATGGAGGAAAGACCCTTTTCCATTTCCCAATGGAGATGAAAGGAAGTAGATAAGTACAAGAACTATTTAGAAAATAGGAGAAAATTCGGATCACTGTGTAAGCAGAAGTAACAAAACGTACCAGTTTTCTTGTGTGTTCATAAGCATAGCTATACTTAACCATATAGTGTACAGTAGGGCCCCACTTATATGGTTCCAGGCTATCACCAGAAAGCAGAATGCCATTTTTACCATTTATAAATGCATATAAATGCCAGACAACAAGTTTACACTAAATTATATTAAGTTAGTAATAGAACTAGGCATTAAAAACACAAAAAAGTAAAATACATACACAGTACATTTATTACTTATCTTAAAGTATTTGTAATCTTAATGTAGGGCAAGAGGTGAGTAGTACGTATTTGTAGGAAGTCAGGTGTAGGTAGCCCTGGCTCCCCATCTCAAACTTAATATACGATATTTAAAACAGCTCAGAGAGTTAAAATACACATACAGTACACTCATTATTTACCTTAAAATGTGTAGTCTTAATGTAGGAAAAGAAGTGAGTAGTATTTATTTGGAGGAAGTCAGTGTAGGTAGCCAGTAGGTGTAGCCTGCCTGGGCTACACTACCGGCTACCTACACTGGCCCAGAGCCATATTATTAGCATTGATATACCTTGTTCACTGAATTTAATTGTTTCTAACAACTATCTTGAGATGCCATCATAAATGAAGGGAGAAGTAATGAATAATTCACGCCGAAAATTGTAAACAAAAGCAGAGTGGGGGAGTGGCTGGGCCAAATGCAGATTCATACATGTTTTCTCTGGTGCCTGACCAAAGAAAACGTAATGTTATCCCTCCGCCCGGCTACCACGCAGGTCCACAGGTATTATTATCAGAGCACATATAAAATATGCAATAAATGCCAGACAACAAGTTTACAATAACTTATATTAAGTTAGTAATAGAAATAAGCATTAAAAACACAATAAAAGGTAAGATACACATAGAGTACACTTTTTTTTTTTTTAACAAGTCGGCCGTCTCCCACCAAGGCAGGGTGACCCAAAAAGAGAGAAAATCCCCAAAAAGAAAATACTTTCATCATCATTCAACACTTTCACCTCACTCACACATAATCACTGTTTTTGCAGAGGTGCCCAGAATACAACAGTTTAGAAGCATATACGTATAAAGATATGCAACGTATGTGTGAGAGGTAAGTGGCAGGGTGTTTACTGAATAAAATCAGAATGGCACACTATCATCCTCTAACTTGGCATTTAAAGCAAGAGGCTTACGACTCCTCTTTTTATCACAGCTAAGCTTAGACGCCATCGTCAATGACAGCCAACTAGTTAACGAAAGAGTAAATGAGAGAGAGAATGAGATACAGAGTGCAGACAATGTAAGAACACAAACTGAACAGGTAATGGGGCGATCATTTTGTCAGGTGAAATAAATGCGTATTAATGTGTCTGCTTCTAGTTCATTCACGTACGTTTGTAAGAGTCTGTAAAACTTTTACCTCACAATATTTTATTTATTATAATAATAATTACCTCACAATACAAATACTCACTCTTACATTGTGTACAAGTTAGTATAGAATAAAAAAACCAGCAACACTCCCATTCTCATGCAACACACCACTTTTAGAGTGAATGATGATGATGATATTATCATCACAATAAAAAAGCACTAAACCCACAAGGGTCGTGAATTGCTATACAGTAGGGCCCCGCTTTACGGCGTTCCGCTAATACGGTCATTTCAAATTATGACCAAAACTCGATATATGGCTCCCCCCACCTGACTTTCTAATAAGGTCACTACGCCCCACCCGGTTTGTTTACATTCTCTGTGAGATCCGTAAGCACTAAGTCCCTCCATTTTGTCTGGAAACTCCAAAATTTCAAGTGTTTTTAAAAGTTATTTCATATTTTATATGTACTCTGATAATTATACTTATGTATACCTGTACCTAAATATACTTACACACTGTGCTGGCATGCAGGTACACATTAAAATCAGTAATAGTGTCTTATGTCTCCAGACGTCATATTAGTAATGATAATAATAATCATCGAGTCTCATTTAAATGTCGTATATTACGTTAATATACACATTTTCATTAATCCATCTATGATATTTTTTCAAAATTATATAATAAACACGATGCATAACATATAAATATGATAAATACACCCCACAGTAGAATAAGTAAACAAATATGAGATGTGGTAGCAGACGACTTGCACAAGTGACGCCATATTAGAAATGATAATAATAATAATAATAATCAACGAGTCTCATTAAATGTCGTATATTACGTTAATATACACATTTTCATTAATCCATCCATGATATTTTTTTCAAAATTATACAATAAACACGATACATAACATAAAAAGATGATAAATACACCCCACAATAGAATAAATAAACATAAATATGAGATGTGGTAGCCAGATAACTTGTACAAGTGACGGCAAGAATAACATTTTCTCTAATCTAACATAAGAGAAATGTGTTACTGGGGGTAACTGTAGAAAATTATTCCTTTCGTATGTATGTAAGTTTATTCAGGTACACACAAATACAGTTACATAGATTATCATACATAACAACTTATGTGTAGAGAACCCAGGATAACCCAAAAAGTCAGAGTGACTTATTTTCATTGCCTTCACTCAGAGCATCATTTCAAAACGATGTTACATGAGAATGGGAATGTTCTTCTTTATTTATTCTACTGTATCAATGCAGAGACAACTTGTACACAATGTAATTTGTACACAAACCAGACGTGTATACTTTTTTTGTTTACAAAACTTACGTTCGCCTGTTTGTTTACATAACTCGGCGCTTGTCCTCTCTCATGCACTCATTCTTTCTCTCTCTCATTTATTCGTTTTATCTCATTTACTTACTCCTGACCCTACATTAAGACTACAAATATTTTAAGGTAAGTAATGAGTGAACTGTTTATACATTTTATCACTCTGGGATGCTTAAATATCATAGAACAGTATGTGTGGGTGGGTTGGCCTGGTATGGTAGCCTGGCTGACTACCATACATACCACACTTTATTTCTTACAATAAATACTACTTGTCTCACCCTAGATTAAGACTATAAATATTTTAAGGTAAGTAATGAGTGCACTATGTGTGTATTGTACTTTTTTATTGTTTTTTGATGCCTGGTTCTACTGCTAACTTAATATATGTTAGTGTAAACTTGTTATCTAGTGTTTGTATGCATTTATAAGTGGAAAAAAAGGGTGTTCCACTTTATGGCGATTTCTGCTTTACGGCGGTAGCCTGGAACCTAACCTGCCTTATAAGTGGGGCCCTACTGTATATAGAGTGAAGGCATACAAAAGGAATATTTTTCTACAGTTATCCCCCAGTGTTTGACTGGAGAAAATGCAATTCTTCCAACACTACCTACACAGCCGCTTTGTAAACAAATCTCATACTTACGTCAATTTTTATTCTGTGAGTGTATGTGTAGAAACCCAAAGTATTTCTTCTCCTATGCCAAATCAAAGTCGAGAACAACGTCCAGTATTGGGCCCCTACTTAAACAAGATGGGTCCTACATAGATGACAGCAAGGAAATGAGTGAGCTACTCAAGTCCCAATATGACTCAGTTTTTAGCAAGCCGCTAGCCAGACTGAGAATCGAAGATCAAAATTAATTTTTTATGAGAGAGCCACAAAATTTGGTTAACACAAGCCTATCTGATGTTATCCTGACGCCAAATGACTTCGAACAGGCGATAATGACATGCCCATGCACTCTGCCCCAGGGCCAGACTCATGGAACTCCGTGTTCATCAAGAACTGCAAGAAGCCCCTATCACGAGCCTTTTCCATCCTATGGAGAGGGAGCATGGACACGGGGGTCGTCCCACAGTTACTAAAAACAACAGACATAGCCCCACTCCACAAAGGGGGCAGTAAAGCAACAGCAAAGAACTACAGACCGATAGCACTAACATCCCATATCATAAAAATCTTTGAAAGGGTCCTAAGAAGCAAGATCACCACCCATCTAGAAACCCATCAGTTACACAACCCAGGGCAACATGGGTTTAGAACAGGTCGCTCCTGTCTGTCTCAACTATTGTATCACTACGACAAGGTCCTAAATGCACTAGAAGATAAAAAGAATGTAGATGTAATATATACAGACTTTGCAAAAGCCTTCGACAAGTGTGACCATGGCGTAATAGCGCACAAAATGCGTGCTAAAGGAATAACAGGAAAAGTCGGTCGATGGATCTATAATTTCCTCACTAACAGAACACAGAGAGTAGTCGTCAACAGAGTAAAGTCCAAGGCAGCTACGGTGAAAAGCTCCGTTCCACAAGGCACAGTACTCGCTCCCATCTTGTTCCTCATCCTCATATCCGACATAGACAAGGATGTCAGCCACAGCACCGTGTCTTCCTTTGCAGATGACACCCGAATCTGCATGACAGTGTCTTCCATTGCAGACACTGCAAGGCTCCAGGCGGACATCAACCGAATCTTTCAGTGGGCTGCAGAAAACAATATGAAGTTCAACGATGAGAAATTTCAATTACTCAGATATGGTAAACACGAGGAAATTAAATCTTCATCAGAGTACAAAACAAATTCTGGCCACAAAATAGAGCGAAACACCAACGTTAAAGACCTGGGAGTGATCATGTCGGAGGATCTCACCTTCAAGGACCATAACATTGTATCAACCGCATCTCCTAGAAAAATGACAGGATGGATAATGAGAACCTTCAAAACTATGGAGGCCAAGCCCATGATGACACTCTTCAGGTCACTTGTTCTATCTAGGCTGGAATATTGCTGCACACTAACAGCACCTTTCAAGGCAGGTGAAATTGCTGACCTAGAAAATGTACAGAGAACCTTCACGGTGCGCATAACGGAGATAAAACACCTCAATTACTGGGAGCGCTTGAGGTTCCTAAAACTGTATTCCCTGGAACTCAGGCGGGAGAGATACATGATTATATACACCTGGAAAATCCTAGAGGGACTAGTACCGAACTTGCACACGAAAATCACTCACTACGAAAGCAAAAGACTTGGCAGACGATGCAACATCCCCCCAATGAAAAGCAGGGGTGTCACTAGCACGTTAAGAGACTATACAATAAGTGTCAGGGGCCCGAGACTGTTCAACTGCCTCCCAGCATACATAAGGGGGATTACCAACAGACCCCTGGCAGTCTTCAAGCTGGCACTGGACAAGCACCTAAAGTCGGTTCCTGACCAGCCGGGCTGTGGCTCATACGGTGGTTTGCGTGCAGCCAGCAGCAACAGCCTGGTTGATCAGGCTCTGATCCACCAGGAGGCCTGGTCACAGACCAGGCCGCGGGGGCGTTGACCCCCGGAACTCTCTCCAGGTAAACTCCAGGTAAACCATGTTTATATGATATGTAACGTGTTTCTTATATAATTTTGAGGAAAATATCATAAATGGATTAATGAAAATGTCTATAATAACCCTTTCAGGGTCCGTGCCGTAGATCTACGGCTTTATGTTCAGGGTCCAAACCGTAGATCTACGCCAAGAGCTCAGCTCACTCTGATAAGCTGTGAGTGGTAAATTTGGGCTTAGATATGAGAGAATACATCTATGTGGTATGTGTGCACCACATAAAACAAATCCTACAGCACACAGTGTATAATAAGAGAAAACAAACTGAGATCGTGATTTTCGATTAAAACAGCGACTTTGCAGTGTTTTTTCGTATATTTTTTATAGTTGTATTTGCGATTTCTTGGTCTCATTTGATAGAATGGAAGACATTTTACAGAAATAGAGATGATTTTGATTGGTTTTAGCACTGGAAATGACTTGAAACTGAGCTCAAAGTAGTGGAAATGCTAAATTTTTGCTGATGTTCAAGAGTAAACAAACGACCTCACACATCTAATACACGCCACCTGGTGGGTCTAATATACATTCACAAGTGTGGTGATGACATTTACACAATTATTACAATATTGCATAACAGTAAATCTTCTATTTTTTGGTTTGAATAAAAATTCATTATGTGAATAAAAAATCAAAATGGAATTTATTTGTAAAGCCTCAAAACATAACTAATGAACAGAGGAAATGTTAGTTTAGTGCCAGGAATACCTACATTGTTTATCTGGACCCTATTTTGAAATTGGAATATTTTGAACTTTGTGTTAAATTGGCCAAATTACCAATTTCCAATGACTTTATTTTGTAGTTGAAACAGTTGACTTGGCAATTTCTTGTGCTCAATCAATAGAATAGAAGTAATACTAGTGAAATAGCTAAGAATTTGGTCAACTGGAATAATGTAATTGGCCTAAAATGGGAGTCAAAGTCGGCAAAATCGCCGATTCGTAAATATCGCTGACACATCAAAATTCGTGAAAGCATAATTTCATCAATTTTACATCAAATTTCGTCATATTTGTTTTATTACCTTCAGGAAAAGATTCTCTACCATTTCATAAGAAAAAATAATTTTTTTTTTTTAAATTCTTGGACCCTGGTGCTCACTTTGAAATTTGGCTTCTGGACCCTGAAAGGGTTAATGTAAAATAAGACATTTAATGTTCCCAAGAGTGATGATTACTATGTACTATTGGCGTCATGAGTTGAGAGAGACTTAGCGATTTTAATGTGTGCCTGCACACCAGCACAGTGTGTAAGTATATTTAGGTACAGGTACACATAAGTATAATTATCAGAGTACATATAAAATACGCAATAGCTGTAAAACTTGAAATTTTGGAAAGTTTCCAGACATAACAGATATGGTCACGGAGAATGTAAACAAACTGGGTGGGGCATGCAGTATTTGAAAGACCACTTGCAGTATAGCAAATTTTGGTCATAATTTGACATCACCGTATTAGCGGAATGCCGTAAGGCAAAACACCGTAAAGCGGGGCCCTACCGTATATGTACAGTAATTACCCATGCTGAATATGTAGAATTTTTAAGATTTGTGCTGAGTGCAACTGAGAATATTTGATGCACTTTTTCTGCTGTCGGTGTACACCAAACTTTCTTGTAATGGTGAATAGTGTATCTTTGCCAGCTCTCTCCGTGAAGCCTTCAGGTGATCTTAAGAGAGTGTATGGAAAAAAAAAATATAGGTGTTAAAAGAAATGTTGCATCAACTTACTCTAAATGGTCGAAAGAGTTCAGACAAACTCCTGGGTTCCCGATCTAAATTCAAGGGGCCATCGGGAAACATAACCAGACCTGCAACAATGGCCAGGCGAGGAATAGTGAACATCAATGCTGGGTCATAATCATCAATCTGGTCTTGGGTAGTTAAGCCAAGTTTCAAGGCCCTGTAATAAAATAAGAAAGATGGTTTAAACTAGAAAAAAGGTAATATTTTTTGCCCAGGGATGACTATGCAATTTAGATAACATCTGAAATTACAGATTTTTTTTTTTAACAAGTCAGCTATCTCCCACCAAGGCAGGGTGACCCAAAAAGAAAGAAAATCCCCAAAAACAAAATACTTCATCATCATTCAACACTTTCACCTCACTCACACATAATCACTGTTTTTGCAGAGGTGCTCAGAATACAACAGTTTAGAAGCATATACATATAAAGATACACAACACATCCCTCCAAACTGCCAATGTCCAAAACCCCTCCTTTAAAGTGCAGGCAATGTACTTCCCATTTCCAGAACTCGAGTCCGGCTATATAAAAATAACCAGTTTCCCTGAATCCCTTCACTAAATATTACCCTGCTTACACTCCAACAGCTCATCAGGTCCCAAATACCATTCGTCTCCATTCACTCCTATCTAACATGTTCACGCACACTTGCTGGAAGTCCAAGCCCCTCGCCCACAAAACCTCCTTTACCCCCTCCCTCCAACCTTTTTGAGGATGACCCCTACCCCGCCTTCCTTCCCCTACAGATTTATATGCTCTCCAGATAACATCTGAAATTACAGGAAAAGCTACATACATATTAACATGAAAAACAGTTATTTTCTCTTTTTCTTCCTTTTTCAGGCTGGTTAATATGTATGTATTTCTAAATGCAAGAGTATCATTAAAATAAGTAATCACTCTGCAAATTGGAACCAAAATCCTGTTTCCTTAAATTTTAAGAAATTACTGCAAATTTTTTTAACACACTGGCCGTCTCCCACCAAGGCAGGGTGACCCCCCCCCCCAAAAAAAAAGAAACACTTTCACCATCATTGACTTCTCACACAGGCGTGCGGATATAACAGTTCAGATGATCCTCCAAACAGCAATATCCCCAGCCTTCCTTTAGAGTGTGGGTACTTTACTTCCCACCTCCAGGAGCCTGAACAAAAAGATTTGAGATAACAGGGGCACACTGAATGAACAGAATATGTAAAAAAGTTCAAGGGCAAATCAGTTTATGGGAAATACTTAAAAGAAATCATCAGTCTGAGAGAAGATTTCCGAACCAGAATTGGATTTGGTAGGAAAACCAATTACCATCTAGCAAATAAAAAACAAGGAAGACTGTACAAATAACAAAGACAAAGATTGAAAGGATCAGAGTCCAAAGACATGTTGAGGGTTTTGTACAAGATTAAAAAGAATCAAATCCTCCAAGAAAATCATAAATCTTCTTTTGACTTTTCCAAAGAAAAACACAACTGTGACTTTTACCGTAATGATGAAATTTCAAACAAGGTATGAGAAGCTGTAAATAATTAGTGTGTGCATATGAACAATGGAGACAGGATAAGACTGAGGAAAACATTAAAACCGAAAAAAATGGTCTCTTATGACAGCCAGTATTTTGATGTTTCCTCAATTAACGTGTTTTTCTTTGGTATCTTGTATATGACATGTCAACAACAAAGTTAAATAGGTACTTCCATAAGAGTTCTCATTAAAAAACCATGAAGAACCTCATTTTCTAGTTTGGATAAATATTTGACAATTGCTTTTAATACAAACTTGAATAACTTTTATTATATACAAACTTTCTTGATGAATTAAATCTTATGATTCTGAGTTTACAAGAGCACCTCTGGCAAGATAGTGACAGTGTGAATGATGGTCAAAGTACTTCTTTTTTAGGTCACCACTGCTTCATTGGGAGACAGCCAGTGTTTAAAAATAAGATTCAGCATAAGGATAGTTTTTGCACTACCCTTTTCAGTTACAGGATCAAGAAAGCTATCTAATGTTATACATCATATACAGTGGACCCCCGCATACCGATTTTAATCCGTGCAAGAGGGCTCATTGGTATGCGAAATAATCGGTATGCGAATGAATTTTCCCCATTAGAAATAATGGAAATCAAATTAATCCGTGCAAGACACCCAAAAGTATGAAAAAAAAAATTTTACCACATGAAATATACATTTTCCTACACACAAAGAGAAGGATACATGCACAATAGTAGAGTAGTACATGCACAGTATATATTGTGCATGTACTAGTCTACTAAATGAAGAATAAATGACACTTACCTTTATTGAAGATGCAGCAATGACTGATGAGACACTGTGTCCTGGGAGTGCCTTTTCCTCCTGAGTACTGTAGGTCCTGTTTGGCATTTTCTTCCAGAACAGGCCTTATCACACTGTGTATGTCACTATGATTCTTAAATCTCTCAAACCAACCTTTGCTAGCTTTAAATTCACCAATATGAGCACTAGTTCCAGGCATTTTTCCCTGTTCACCTGGGTGTTAGTCGACTGGTGTGGGTTGCATCCTGGGAGACAAGATTAAGGACCCCAATGGAAATAAGTTAGACAGTCTTCGATGACACTGACTTTTTTGGGTTATCCTGGGTGGAAAATCCTCTGGGGTTAATTGTTTCTTGGTATATTCTCAATAAGCCACACCAACAACAGTGCTACAGCAGCAGCAGATGATGCTACAGCAGCAGCAGACGATGCTACAGCAGCAGCAGCAGCAGCAGCAGCAGCAGCAGCAGCTGACAGTGCTACAGCAGCAGCAGACGATGCTACAGCAGCAGCAGACGATGCTACAGCAGCAGCAGATGATGCTACAGCAGCAGCAGCAGCTGACAGTGCTACAGCAGTAGCAGACGATGCTACAGCAGCAGCAAACGATGCTACAGCAGCAGCAGACGATGCTACAGCAGCAGCAGCAGCTGACAGTGCAGCAGCAGCAGCAGCTGTACCACCAATAGTAGCGATGGTTGATTGGGGTTCATTATACAACCTGGCCAGCTCGGAGACACGCACTCCACTTTCATACTTATCAATGATCTTTTTCTTCATCTCTATAGTAATTCTCACCCTTATTGCTGTAGGGTTGGCACTAGAAGCTTTCTTGGGGCCCATGGTCACTTATTTTCCAGATAAAATCACCAAAAACACTGTAATAATACGAAATGTTACGATTGTATGCTTGGATGCTACCGCGGAGGCTGGCTGGTAAACAATGCCACCGTCGGAACATGTGAGGCTGGCTAAGGCGCACATTGGACGCGTCTCGGACGAACAGCGGTGAGCGGGTTTTTGAGCGGTATGCGAGGCAAAATTTTTGCGATTAAAGTGAGCGGTATGCGGAATAAACGGTATGCGATGCCAATGGTATGCGGGGGTCCACTGTAATACTTAGAATATCAGGATCATAATGTGATCACTATATTTCTTGATGCATCGAAGCCTTTGATGGAAGTGAACACTCCTGACTAACCTAAAGAAATTTTAAACCTTAGTCTGACATGTTCTTGCTGGATACCTATGTATCTCATAATAATTCAGAAAGGTTTATGTTAAAGGATCTGCAAAGTTACTGACAAAGAATTCTGAAAAGTTGTTAAGTTTTAGAAATAACTTGAAAAGTAATTCAAGTATTTGGCAAAACTCTGATATATTTAATGATGCACATTTCATTACGTTTTAACAAACTGGCCATCTCTAAGATAGGGCGACTCAAAAAGGAAGAAACACATTCACCGTCATTCATTCAATGACAGTGAATGTACCTTTTACATTTTTTTCTTCTGAAAACCATGGAATAAGCATTAACGATGTTTCCATTTTTGTACATAATTTTAAAATGATCTGATTATCTAAATCTGGTAGCCACAAAAGGAAAAATGGGCATCTTCCTCTCTCCTCCTTCCTTGCCACTACACCTTAACCCTCCACCCTATAACTAACCAGTAGACTAAGCTATTGTAAATGCAATTTATAACGTAAATTTTTTTTATGACTACTCAATTTTAGGCTGATACCAATGCCATCAAAATCAGTCGATACCCAATGATGCTTCAGCATACCCCCAATGCTCATTATTATTATTTATTTTTTTTATATATTATCACACTGGCCGATTCCCACCAAGGCAGGGTGGCCCGAAAAAGAAAAACTTTCACCATCATTCACTCCATCACTGTCTTGCCAGAAGGGTGCTTTACACTACAGTTTTTAAACTGCAACATTAACACCCCTCCTATTATTATTATTATTAATCATTATTGTCATCATAACAACAATTTAGTAACATACCATGTCATCATCATTCACTTCCCTCACTCCAACACCTACTACTGTCTTTCTACAACCCAATCTCTATAATGAGCTTCATTCACATCACTTACTACATTTATCAGAGTAGGCAAGATAAGGACGAAGCTGATTTTGAAGGCATCACTCCATATATAACGTAATATTATTTATAGACTAATCTAATTCTCATAAGCTAATATTAAAAGTAACCATAAATAAACAAGCACTTTGAAGTAAATCAATCAACTATGAAGAAACTGTGAAGCAATGCCTTGGAATTCAGGTCTGTAAAGGTCTTTATTTGTGTAATCTATCTTACCTTTGAACAGTCTCAGAAAAGAGAACAACAACATTCTGTTGAACATCATGTTCCTCAACACTTTTGACTGGTACCATGGCACTCACATAACTCAGCTCAAATTCAGCAAAGAGTCTATCAAAAATCTTAAGGGACTCTCGAATTTTTTCTGTGTACTCTGGGACAGGTTTTAAACACTGCAAATACAAGAACAGTTATTATATTAAAAAAATAATGCACAAGAATTTACAATCCATACATTAAAAAATTTATTTTTCACAAAGTACAATATTTATAAGGAATTTTATCTGAAATTCATTGATAAGGAAATCAAAATATTAAGTCAATTGGATTTAGCTGAAAATGCTTTTCACATCTTTTTAAGCAATTTTTTCCCTTCAAAACATATGTGAAATGTTACTTAAAGATTTTTGTGATAAAGGGACTGAAACAGAACCTTGTCAAATAATACTGCATATTTTTCAGTGAAGTCACCCAAGTGGACATACGTAAATGGTATAAAATACCGACACAATGGAAATATAAACACTTAAGCGGTATAATGTGATCCTTTATTGACAATGTTTCGCCCATGTAGTGGGCTTTATCAAGTCACAAACAGATTTACCTGGGTAAAAGGTATGTGAGTATTTAAGGATGGAGTCGGGTGGAGAATGCTGCATGTGACAATCTTCCAAGTAGGGTGATACAGTCTAGAACCTTGGGTAGCTTTAAAAAGAGTTCGAATAAGTATATGAGTAGACCTTCTGCAGTGTTCCTCCATTCTTATGTTCTTATGTAGGATAGCAATGAAGAAGTTTCTTGGCAAGGGGTTCAGCTATATTATAAAAGCCATTGTCCTGGTTGAAGTTGTTGGATATACAGTGGACCCCCGCATAGCGATTTTAATCCGTGCAAGAGGGCTCATTGTTATGCGAAATGATCGGTATGCGAATGAATTTTCCCCATAAGAAATAATGGAAATCAAATTAATCCGTACAAGACACCCAAAAGTATGAAAAAAAAAATTTTTACCACATGAAATGTTAATTTTAATACACACAAACTGAAAAAGGCATGCACAATTACATGACACTTACTTTTATTGAAGATCTGGTGATGATTGATGGGATGGGAGGAGGGGAGAGTGTGTGTTAGTGTTTAGAAGGGGAATCCCCTTCCATTAAGACTTGAGGTGTCGAGTCCTTTTCTGGGGTTACTTCCCTTCTTCTTTTAATGCCACTAGGACCAGCTTCAGAGTCACTGGACTTCTTTCGCACAACATATCTGTCCATAGTGGCCTGTACCTCTCGTTCCTTTATGACTTCCCTAAAGTGTTTCACAACATTGTCAGTGTAATAATCACCAGCACGGCTTGCAATAGCTGTGTGAGGGTGATTCTCATCCATAAAGGTTTGCACTTTCAGCCACATTGCACAGATTTCCTTAATCTTTGTAGTAGGCAACTTCTTCAATTTCTCTCTCCCCTCCTCTGAACCAGTTTCCTCAGGTATGGCCTCTTGCTGTTGAAGTTGATCTATCAGCTCATCAGTGGTTAGTTCTTCATTGTCCTCCTCCACCAACTCTTCCACATCCTCCCCACTAACCTCCAACCCCAAGGACTTTCCCAATGCCACAATGGATTCCTCAACTGGCATAATCCTCTCTCAGGGTTAGCCTCAAACCCTTCAAAATCCCTTTTGTCTACACATTCTGGCCACAGTTTCTTCCAAGCAGAGTTCAAGGTCTTCTTAGTCACTCCCTCCCAAGCCTTACCTATAAGGTTTACACAATTGAGGATATTAAAGTGATCTCTCCAAAACTCTCTTAGAGTCAGTTGAGTTTCTGAGGTCACTACAAAGCACCTTTCAAACAGAGCTTTTGTGTACAGTTTTTTGAAGTTTGCAATAACCTGCTGGTCCATGGGCTGCAGGAGAGGAGTGGTATTAGGAGGCAAAAACTTCACCTTAATGAATTTCATGTCCCCATAAAGTCGCTCTGCCACGTCTGTAGGATGACCAGGGGCATTGTCTAACACCAGGAGGCACTTAAGTTCTAATTTCTTTCCAGTTAGGTAATCTTTCACATTGGGGGCAAATGCATGGTGTAACCAGTCATAGAAAAAGTCCCTAGTGACCCATGCCTTACTGTTTGCCCTCCACAGCACACACAAATTTTCCTTGAGGACATTCTTTTGCCTGAACGGTCTGGGAGTTTCAGAGTGATACACTAATAAAGGCTTCACTTTGCAATCACCAGTAGCATTGGCACACATCAACAGAGTAAGCCTGTCTTTCATAGGCTTATGTCCTGGGAGTGCCTTTTCCTCCTCAGCAATGTAGGTCCTGCTTGGCATTTTCTTCCAAAACAGGCCTGTTTCATCACAATTAAACACTTGTTCAGGTTTCAGTCCTTCACTGTCTATGTACTCCTTGAATTCCTGCACATATTTTTCAGCTGCTTTGTGGTCCGAACTGGCAGCCTCACCATGCCTTATCACACTGTGTATGCCACTATGCTTCTTAAATCTCTCAAACCAACCTTTGCTGGCCTTAAATTCACTCACATCATCACTAGTTGCAGGCATTTTTTTAATTAAATCCTCATGCAACTTCCTAGCCTTTTCGCTTATGATCGCTTGAGAGACGCTATCTCCTGCTAGCTGTTTTTCATTTATCCACACCAATAAGTCTCTCTCAACATCTTCCATCACTTGCGATCTCTGTTTCGAAAACACAGTTAAACCTTTGGCAAGAACAGCTTCCTTGATTACCTTTCTGTTGCCCACAATAGTAGTGATGGTTGATTGGGGTTTCTTGTACAACCTGGCCAGGTCGGCGACACGCACTCCACTTTCATACTTATCAATGATCTCTTTCTTCATCTCTATAGTAATTCTCACCCTTATTGCTGTAGGGTTGGCACTAGAAGCTTTCTTGGGGCCCATGGTCACTTATTTTGCAGATAAAATCACCAAAAACACTGTAATAATACGAAATGTTCCGATTGTATGCTTGGATGTTACCGCGGAGGCTGGCTGGTAAACAATGCCACCGGCGGCACATGTGAGGCTGGCTAAGGGCGCACATTGGACACGTCTCGGACGAACAGCGGTGAGCGGGTTTTTGAGCGGTATGCGAGGCAAAATTTTTGCGATAAAAGCGAGCGGTATGCGGATTAAACGTTATGTGATGCCAACGGTATGCGGGGGTCCACTGTACAGATAAGTGATGATTCCAAGATTCTTCGGTACTGAGTGTTGTCTTCTCTGGTGACAAGTCTTGCGTTTCTGTAGTTGATTAAATGGTTGTGTGAATTTCGGTGTTGAACACAGGCATTCCTTGGATCGTCAGATCTGCCTGCTTATTGGTGTTTTGAAATATATGTTTGGAGGTCTCTGGATGCTTCGCCGACGTATAATTTGCTGGAGTCATTACAAGGGATTGCGTATACCCCTGCAGAGGATTGAAGCTTGTCCTGTCTATTACTGGTAATGTCCTTGATGCTGGTGAATGTGGAGGTAGATACTTGGCATGAAGTATTGGAAAAGATGTTGGAAACGTGTTTAGCAATGGAGCTGGTGGGGAGGACTATGTATCTCTTCTCGGCAGTGTCTTCTCTGGGTGTGTTAATGTTTAATGCCCGTCGTCTGCAGTTTCTAATGAAGTGACTTCAAGGTTCTAGACTCTATCACCCTACTTGGAAGATTGCCACATGTAGCATTCTCCACCTGATTCCATCCTTAAATACTCGCGTACCTTTTACCCAGGTAGATCTGCTTGTGACTTGATAAAGCCCACTGCGTGGGCGAAACTTTGTCAATAAAGGATCACATTATACTGCTCAAGTGTTTACATTTCCATGTCACCCAATCAGCAGTAATTTGTCAAGATTTTTTCCAGCCTTTTTTCTTGATTCTTTGAGATACACCTCTAAACAAATAGTATAAAATTGTTTCTTTCTTACAGTCTAGAAAATAAAATTAATGCCACAGTTCTTTAGTAAATGCTGCTGCATCTTTGACAAAGGAAAATTTAAGGACGGTAGAAAATGAGGAGGATTCTGCCTATCACTATCCCTTGAATGTGGTGAAGCACACCTCATTACCCAAATATTTACATAGCCTTTCTCTACTATTCATAGGTGAACCAACTGTCTGCCATTAATTTGTGAAGTTCCTCTTCAATTCAAATTCAACAAAATATTTAAAAATAAAAATTGCTTTCTGATCTTAATTTAATCAAGCAACTCCAATTACATCTATATGAAAAAGAGCTTAAGCTCTTGTATGGATGTGAATCATGGGTTTCAAATGTTGCAGCAAGGAGGAGGCTGGAGGCAGTAGAGCTGTAGTGGCTGAGGGCAAAGTGTGGTAAGAGGGGGCTGGATAAAAATAATATGATTAGGAGGGCAGATATCTGGCATTTATTACCAGGAGCAATGAGCTAGTAACCCCTTCTGCACAGCTTAGCAAAAATAAAAAGAAGAAAACCTTTAAGTTGGGAGGTTTGAATGTTTGTGGATGTAGTACAGATATGAAATAGATGATTGTGTATGTTTTGAATGATGATGAAAGTATTTTCTTTTTGGGGATTTTCTTTCTTTTTTGGGTCACCCTGCCTCGGTGGGAGACGGCCTTGTTGAAAAAAAAAAAAAAAAAAAAGTATATTTGAATTGAAGAAGCTGGATATTGGTTCTAAGTGTAACAAAGCAGAACGGGGTAGGACAGTTTCATTAGGGAGAAATAAATGGAATGATGTCATGGGTTTGTAATGGGAGTTGAAAAATCAATTATGGCAGGAAAAGAGGCTATATAAGTGTATAAATTCAAGGATTACATGGGGGTAAAAAAAAGGGTTACTTTTGTTTTTCTTTTTGGGCCACCCTGCCTTGGTGGGATATGGCTGGTGTGTTGAAAGAAAGAAAAAAAAAGGGTTGGATGTGAAAAGTGGGTTATAGTAATTGTTTATGCTCCTGGATAAGAGAGAAGTGTAGAGGAGAGAGAGAGATTTTGGGAGATGCTGAGTGAGTGCTTAGCGAGTTTTGAGCCAAGTGAGAGAGTAATTGTAGTAGGGGACAAGAATGTTAAAGTGGAAGAAATGGTCAAAGAGGGTGTGGTAGGTAAGTTTGAAGTGCCAGGGGTAAATGATAAGAGGGGGCCTTTAATTGAACTATGTTTAGAAAGAAGTTTGGCAAT